ACATCTCATGCCTTGATATTTAATGTCTAAGTTATTTTGCTTTTGATGTGTTTATGTCTTATTCTCTTAAGTAGATTTTAAACTCAGCCAGAAAGAAATCTTCTTTTCCATTATTACTCTCTATTACTACTTCTGCATAAAGCTATAAGAGTACATACCCACTGGGTTGTTCACTGGATTAAATAAGATCATAATATAAAGTGTTTTGACCAGTGCCTAGCATATACTGCAAAGTAATGGTCTGGTGTAGTTATAAAATATGCATATTTGCTGGTTAGTTAATAAAGACATGAAATGTGCTCCTGAAAATCTTTGTGTAGATTAAATTTTTGTAAATTTTAAACACATTAGGGATATATGGGTTTTCTTTATAAAATGATAATATCTTTTTAAAGCAATCATCCTCAACATATTAATTTCACCAGTACATATTTTTATATTGAAATTGTTCACTCTGAAGCATTTTTGCTTATTAAAAAATTCAGTGAGTGGTGAATATTGAAAGTATATCCCTGAATAATATGAAGAAACATATTGCTCCTAACTATTACAGTTTTAAGTAACATTCATTTCTTTTTAATACCTTAAAGTTAATTTTCATTATTCTAACTAATTATTTAGACAATCCTATCTCTTGAGATTTTTATTTGGACAAGCTAAATAGGGTAAAATTAATTCAACAATGTGATAAAACATTTACAATTTTTGAGGACAAAGAGCTTCTGTTAAGTTTAAATTATTATTAATATTACTAACAATTAAAAATAAATGAAACTCCAAGTTTAAAGTAGCAGAATTATATGAAGAAATTGATTTCCATTAGAGTTATTTAATTGTGGTAAATGATGCTAAATGAATCAGGTAAAAAAATTAAAATTTAGTCAATCCAATTATTGGACTTACGTAGATATGAATAGAACTTGTATTTTAATTAATTCTATCAAAACATTTCGTAGTTTGGCATTGTTTGAGGATAATTCTAGTTGGATGATTAAATTATTCTTATACAATTTTTATTTTTAATATCACTGCAGCTAAGGAGGGCTTTTGCTTTCTTTTATACTACTGTGTTTTTAACATTTATTAGGAATTGACTAGGTGTCAGAAACTGTGCTCATTGTTAAATACGGATTAGCTTGCTTAATCCTCATAAAAATCTTTTGGGAAGGTACTATTATTCTTCCCATTTTATAAATAAAGAAATGAAGGTTTAGAGAAAGAGAAAATACAATACCATGAATGTTAAAAAAAAATTGGAAAATAGATAAAAGTCATTGAAACATTAGCTAATTACATCTCTAACATGTTTTCTTACAATTTAGGATCACTATACAAAAGTTTGCATCCCAGAATCTGCAAAAGCTCACACCCCAATGCTGTTAACATAATAATGACTCCTACACTTTTACTGAGTAAATGAATTACCAGTTAGCATGCACTCACAATAAAAATATAACCCCATTTCTTGCTTAAATAAGGCCTTTGAGCTAGGGAACTAAAATATTAATCAAATGTTTGTTTGGCTTAGAGGTAGACTACTAGCTATATGACTTACAAACTCTTTACAAGTTACTTAATTTCTCTTAATCTCAGTTTAGTCATTTGTAAAACATGGATAATAACACTTCAGAGGGTTGAAGTAAGAATAAAATAAAATACTGAGCATAAATGTGCTCTCTTAGGTTCTAGCATAATATTTGATATAGAGCAGGCACTGAATAGTTTTATGAAACTGTTAAATGATAAATCATAAAAAGACAATTGCAATAAGTGTACATCTATTAAAGAAATTGAATCAATATTTAATAAACTTCTAAAACAGAAAACCAGGCCCAGATGGGTTCACTGGTGAATTCTACCAAACATTTAAGAAAGAAATTATACTAATTCTCTAAAATATCTTTTAGAAGATGGAAGCAGAGAGAACACTCCTAACTTATTCTATGAGGTCAGAATTACCCTAATACCAAAATCAGACAAAGACATTACAAGAAAAGAAAACTACAGACCAATATCTCTCATGAGCATACATATAAAAATCCTCCAGAAAGTATTAGTAAACCAAATCCAGCAATGTATAAAAAAAAATCAGACACCCCGACCAAGTGAGATTTATCTGAGGTATACAAGTTTAATGGAACATTCAAAAATCAATTAATATTATCTGTCATATCCACAGGCTAAAAAAGAAAAAAAAATACATGATCATATCAACAGAAGTAGAAAAAGCATTTGACAAAATCAGACATCCATTAACGATAAAAAAGGGCAGCTTTCTCAACTTGATAAAGAACATGTCCAAAAATCCTACACCTAACATCATACTTAATGGTAGAAACTAGAAGCTTTCCCACTAAGGTTAGTCAAGGCAAGGATGTCCCCTCTCACCATTGCTTTTCAACATTGTACTGGAAGGCCTAGCTAATGTAATAAGACAAGAAAATAAAGTAAAAGGCATACAGATTGGGAAGGAAGAATCAAACTGTCTTTGTTCACAGGTGATATGATCACCTATGTAGAAAATATCAACAAGAAAACCTCCTGGAACTAATAAGCAATTATACCAAGGTTGCAGAATACAAGGTTAACATATATATGAAAGTCACTCACTTCCTTATATAATGGCAATGAACAAGTGGAATTTGAAATTAAAACATGTTACCACTTATATTAGCACCTCTCCCAAATGAAATACTTTGGTATAAATCTCACAAAATTTGTACAAAAGATTTATATGGGGAAAACTACAAAATTCTAATGAAAGATATCAAAGAAGAATTAAATAAGTGAAGATATATTCCATGATCATGGATAGGAAGACTCAATATTGTCATGATGTCAGTTTTTCCCAACTTGATTTATAGATTCAGGACAATCTCAATCAAAATACTGGCAAGTTATTTTGTAGTTGCTGACAAATTGATCCCAAAGTTTCTACAAAGAAGCAAAATATCCAGTAGAGTCAACAAAATATTGAAGAAGAACAAAGTCAGAAGACTAATACTACCCAACCTTAAGGCTTAATATAAAGCTACAGTAATCAAGACAGTGCAGTACTGGTGAAAGAACAGACAAATAGATCAATGTGAGAGAATATGGAGTCCAGAAATATACCCACATAAATATAATAAACTGATCTTTGACAAAGGAGCAAAGATAATACAATAGAGCAAAAATAATCTTTTCAACAAATAGCGCTGGCACAACTAGACATCACAAGCAAAAAAAAAAAAAAAAAGTAAATATAGACACAGACCTTACATCCTTCACAAATATTAACTCAAAATGTATCATAGACCTAAATGTAAACTATAAAACTATAAAACTCTAGGCAATAACACAGGAGAAAACCTAGACGTCCTTGGATGTAGAGAAAATATTTGCAGAAGACACATCTGATAAAGGACTGTTATTTAAAATATATAAAGAACTCTTAAAACTCAACAATAAGAAAAAAAAAAACCTGATTAAAAAATGGGCAAAAGACCTGAACAGACACCAAAGAAGATATAGAGATGGCAAATAAACATATGAAAAGATGTTCTACATCGTTTGGCAGTAGGGAATTGTAAATTAAAACAAGAATGAGATACCACTACATACCTATTAGAATAGCCAAAATCCAAAACACTGACAACAGCAAATACTGGTGAGGATGTGAAACAGCAGGAACTCTCATTCATTGCTAGTGGGAATGCAAAATTGTACAGCTGCTTTGGAAGAGAGTTTAGCAGTTTCTGACAAAACTGAACGTACTCTTACCATATGATTCAGTAATTACACTCCTTAGTATTTACTCAAATGAATTAAAAACATTTCCGCACAAAAACCTGCATGTGAATTTTATAGCAGCTTTACTCATAATTGCCAAAACTTGAAAGCAGCCTAGATGTCCTTTAGTAGATGAGCAGATACATAAAGTGGGATACATCCAGACAATGGAATATTATTCAGTATTGAAAAGAAATGAGCTATCAAGCCATGGAAAGCATAAAGGAAACTTAAATGCATATTATTAAGTGAAAGAAGTCAATCTGAAAAGGGTGCATACCGTATGATGCCAACTATATGACACTCTGAAAAAGGCAAAGTTATGGAGACAGTAAAAAGCAAGGGGATGGGGGAGGGAAGAATAAATTGGCAGAGCGCAGAGAATTTTTAAGGCAGCAAAACTATTCTGTAGGATATTATAATGGTGGATATGTATCCTCAAGCATTTGTCAAAACCCATAAAATGTACAAGACCAAGAGTAAACCCTAACGTAACCTATGGGCTTTGGGTGATAATGATGTGTTGATGTAGGCTCATTGATTGTGACAAATGTACCACTGCGGTGTGGGATGTCCATTGTGGAGGAGGTTTTGCATGTGTGGGGACAGGGGGTATATGGGCTCTGCCTGTACTTTCTACTTAACTTTGCTCTGAACCTACAAGTGCTCTAAAAAATAAAGTTTATTTTTTAAAAAGATAAACTTGCATAAAGATTAGTTCTCGCCATTTTATGCAGTACAGCGATTAATACAGCAGACTCTTCAATCAGATTGTCAGGGTTTAAATCCCAGTAACACTATCCCTGTGATTGTTTTTTCATCTCTGAAATGGCAATAATAGGAGTATCTACCTCAGAGTTTTAGAAGGAAGTGAGATTTAAATAGTTGCATGTCTCATAGTGAGTTTCCGTTCAATAAATCTTAGCTATTATTTCTTTTACAAATTTAGAAGTGTTTTAATCTACAATATCTTATTGAATTATCCCAGCCTTCCTGAAAGGTTGGAATGATTGTCCTCACCCAAAGGATGAAGAAGCTGCAGCTCAGAGTGGCTCGGTGGCTATCCAAGGTCTCATAATTAGTAAGTCACAGAGCCAAGACTTGAACACTGGCTTTTGTCCTCCAAATCCTGTGCACACTGCTTTCCACTGTCTTTTTCATCAACCTTCTGACCCTCAGGATATCCCAGTTCCTTCACTGCTTTTTGTCTTACTTTCTTCCCTTTGCAGATCCTTAGTACAACACAGACAAGAGGTTAGGAACGAGAAAGTGAGTCAGTGGAAGAGCCTGGAGACCTATTCCTACAACAAATTCCACCCCATGAAGGAGGTGAGCAAGGACATATGGGAGAGGTTGGTGGTATTCACACCTACTTGAGGATGCTTGAGGGATGGTTCATTGTTAATATCCATAGACTAGAGAGGCTCAAAATGTGGGGATAAGATTTGCCTGCACACTGAGTTCAAGGGATTCCCAAATATCCCCACCACTAACACCACTGTCATTGTAACCACAAAACCTGGTGATATGAAATAAAAAGGCAAATTCATAACAGGAAAAAAAAAAAAAGGAGAAAAGGAATGTTCCAAGGAGGAGCCAGTTGTGCTAGTGTCAGTATGAACCAGAATTGACCCTTATTTTTGTTTATCAAGTCCTTAGCAGGTTTGGGCTGGCTGGTTAGCTCACTTACTTTGAGCACGGTGCTGATAACACCAAGGTCAAGGGTTCAGATCCTTGTACCTACCAGCAGCCAAAAAAAAAAAAAGGAGGGGGTTGGTGTTTATGTGGGTATGAGACATGGGATGGTGAAGTCTTTTGACTGAATCATATTTGGCTGAAAAGGTAATAAGATGCAAAGAGGCACAGGCAGCAGTTCTTAAGAGGGGAGATGATTTTTCAAAGAAATATTTGTATTGCTACCAAGTTAAGTTTTGTGATTTCCAAAACTAAATATAGTGAAATTTAGCTACTACACATGCATGCACGTATGTGTGTGTGTATGCACGTATGTGACATTATGCAAATCTTTTTTAGGGTATAAATTTCTAAAAATATAATCACTAGGTTCAAGGACATATACATCTAAATTTTTAATATAAATGTATAAGTTGCTATCCAAACAGGCCTTACCAATTTATTCCCTCAGCATTTGAAAATATATTAATATTTTCCAAAAATTTTTTTCAAAAAATTTACACTTTTTTCTGTAACAATCACCCAAATGTACTGTTGGTTCTATGATTTTTGAACAAGGTCCAGTATGGCCCCTGAACAACATGTTCCGGTATCAGAGATGGGTTCACATCTGGCTTGGCCACTTACTGGCTGTGTTACCTTGACTAAGACATTTAACCTCTTTGATCCTCAGATTCCTCCCCTGAGAAACAGGAATATTAGTATCTATCTTGCAGCATTGTTGAGAGAGTAAATGAAATAAACTATACTGATTAAGCAATAAATGAATAATATCTGTATTACAGGGCACAGGTCTAGCTGCCTGCCCCCTTTCAAATACAAACCAGCCAAAAGTCAAATGTTGGTGAAAATGGAAGTCAGCTTTTATTCAGGAATACTGGTGACCTGAGTAGAGATGTTGGGCTAACCCACCTCTCTGGTAAACCTGAAGGAGAATGGTCTTTAAACCATCTTAAAGACTTACTCGGGGGATTTTAAAGAAGGAGATGAGGGAATGGAATGTGGGAACTGAAAAGCGGGAGGGAGGGAGACATGAGCTGTTAGGGGTTCCATGCAAGGAGCCAGGTGCAAGGTTCACAAAGGCTCTGTCTGGTTTCTGCTCCCATACTTGCTGTTATCTCAGGGTCTGGATAGTACATGTCTTATGGTGAGTTTGCATCTTCAGGCTGGTTAGAAAACAACTTTACATTTATGTAAATAATGTCATCTTGCCCCATAACCAAGGTTCAAAATATCAAATAACCATGGGAAAATAGGGAACTCGGAGAAATGTATGCTAAGGAAAAAAATGTGCCTTTTTAAAATTTGCCTACAGCTCATGCAGTTTTAGGTCGCAACATGGCTTCAGTCCTGCTCATTCCAACAGCTGCTGCTGCTACTTGCTGCTATTTGTAGCTCTCCCAAGAATTAAGACATCTGCATCTGATCTAGTCCCATTACAGATGCATACAGGATACCCCTGTGAAACGCTACTATTCTTTTCAGTTAATAGAATTGAAAATACTCCCGCTAAGTACTGTTACTATTATAATAATGCATTTTTTTCTGTAGATATTCTCTGCTAAGAATGGCAATTGAGATACAAAAGTTTTCAAATGGGATATTTATTATCCCCAATTAACTGTTATTTGCCACAACTCTTGGTTGTTGACATTGAGAGATGTCAACTATATAGAAATGGAGCGTGAGAGGCTTCCTGTGACACACTGATGACTGTCTTAATATGTCTTATGTTTTTGCATTTGCCCTTATGGTTCCCCAAGGTATGGACGTACAAGGCAAGGTGTAAGACTCTTCCTAAGCATGGTGTAAGACGTGTGATTAAATCAGCACCTATTGAGGTCTACTGATTTGAATCAAAATGATTGACCCGGACTTGATTTAGAAACTTTTGTTGGCATGTTCTGGGAAGGACATACTCACATCTTCTCTAATCTTGGAACCATGGACATCAGCAAAGCATATGGTTGGGATTCATAAAGACGGAAGAAGATCCTACAAAATAAGCCTGACCTGAAATTTCTGGCACAATTGTGTGCCACATGGAAGCTAAGTGTGGTGGCTATTTGAAGATTATGTTGTTACTGAATGTTTCTATTATTGGTGGATTATTGAAATAGTTAATTCTCAACAACTTATTCGTAAAGTTCAACAGGGTGTCATAAGACGTGATGGCAGAGTGGATCTTTAAAGAAAGGGAGAGGGAGGAGGTAACAGTTCATTGATTTAGTTTTCTGTTTTGTTTACCACACAGCTGTTGCAATCTAGCACAGGGTTGCATGTCGTAGTGAAAGAAGCAGTTATCTCAATCTTCCTCTCGTTAGCCATAGTCCTCCCTGGCTGTTTCAGATCTATCAGTGGATGAAACAGATAAGTGAGAAGTACACAGAAGTGGTGACACAGCATTTGCTAGGAATGACCTATGAGGACCGGCCCATGTATTATCTGAAGGTGAGTGAGCAGGCTCAGAATTACCTTATTGGGAGAATCACCCAGTCTGAGGTCATTGGTTTACTACTCAGAAACACTAGTTGGAAATGTGGACAGTGTCAAAAGGAGCAGTACAGAAACATTTTGCCTTTTCCACCACAAACTGTGCTTTTAAAATTCCAGATGTATATGCCTTAATCAAGTGGCTGGAATCAAGTTCAGGGGAAAAGAGGACTGGGATGGCTGGGTGGGAACATGGGGGTAGGACTTAAAAATAGCATGGCCCAGAGTGGAGAATCTCCCACTCATGCTTCAACCAGAGCCAGTTCACTTTTTATCTGCATTTTAAGGTTTTGTTTTTGGGGGGCAAAAGTGTTCTTTCTTTAAAACAGATTTTTTTTTTTCTCAGAAAAATGCTTAAAAACCACAGACAACCTTCATTTTTGGTTCCTTCATTTTATGGTTGAGGGAACAAAGACCCAGCGAAGTGAAGTGACTAGTACAGGGTCACACAGCAAGATAGTAGCATAGCCAGGGGGGTACCAGGTCTCCAGGTTCTCCTACCCTTTTTGCATGTGACATAAAAAATGTTTGGGGCCAGGTAGATGTTTTTCCAGGACTTCTGGGCTCCCAGTTCTGAATCAGTGATTTTCTATTCTGGGTGCATATTAAAATCACCTGGAGAGCTTCCAAGTAATCCTGATGCCTGGGCTCCACCTAAGTATGTCTGACCTAATAGTTCCAAGAAGAGCTTAAAGCATACTTTAAAAGTTGCCCAGGTGATCCTAATATGTAGTAGGAGTTGACAACCTCTGCACCAAACCAGTGGTTTCCAAAGGGTGGTCCATGGATCAGTAGTATCAGTATCACCTGGAAACTTGTTAGAAATGCACATTCTTGGGTCCTATCACTGGGCTTCTGAGTCAGAAAGTCTGGGGATGGGGCCCAACAATCTGTGTTTGAACAAGCCCTCCTCCAGGTGACACTAATGCACACTTAAGTGTTAGAACCACGGTGAATTTCTGACAAGTTCCCAGATGATGCTGATACTGCTGAACCTCTGACAAGTTCCCAGATGATGCTGATACTGCTGAACCAGGACCAGTCTTCGAGAACCACTGCCAAAGTATTTTGTCCTTAAGAACTAGCATTACTTTGTTCACTGCCCTCTCACTACTTAGTGTAGATATGTTAATTTCAAAGCACAGCCCCAAATTTTAAAGTTACCTACAGTTACAGAAACAAAATTATTGGCTCGGAAAGAGAATTTACACAGGGATTGAGTGAACGGTTGATGTATTAAGCATAGGTCAAGGCACCTGCCTACCTATTTTCAATAGGCCATCAAACTCTGAGTTGAGGCAGCCAAAAAGACATCTCAATATCCATTGCCTGGGGCATACTATAAAGAACAGAATAAGTACAAAATAAAGAGGCAATAAAGATAAACATATAATTAACATACATGTACTCAAAATTATTAGAGAAAATGAAGTGAAGAGATGGATTAGGAATTGTCCCGGCAACGTTGAAAATAGGTGAGGCTAAAAGGAGAAAGTTCCTTGAATATGATAGATCCAGCCAGATATTTATCTCCATTTGTCAGTTTCTCATGTAGAGCGGGGGAGCCTCATCAGCCCAGCTCCCTATGGCTTTCAACCAATAGCACTGATCTAGGCCATTTACAAATACAAAACAGATGTGAGTGTTACAAACATGGGTGTGTTCACAGCCTCTTCTCCACCAAAGGGAATCCATAATTTCCAGATTAATTCTTACCTCTCCTCTCCACCGAAGGGAATCCATAATTTCCAGATTAATTCTTACCTCCCCAAAGCTCTGAAAGAGGAGATTTTTCTTGCTGGAGTAAGGTTGAGCTGATGTGCAAGGATGACAGATGGGGAGAGAGGAAAGACGACTGAGCTGGCTGAAAGTGGAGGCGTCCCTGAGGGGAAAGGGAATGATAAGTGTTGCAGGAGATTGTGAATCTGGATCCACACACACTTTCAAGAAGTGTATGTGAAGACTGGGAGTCATTTTAAAATACTTTGATTCTTGAATGTTAACCTCTCGTGCACTTTACCAGTCTGAGTAACCTCTGTTTGTAAAGGTTCTATATGGTTTATACAGATTTAGCCTCTTAGCTTGTGGCTGGGGGCTTTATGCCTTAATTTACAGTTAGGGAACAGTTTAGGGTGTAGGGAAGACCATTCTTTGGGTGGGCACCATGGGAGGTCATTGCTTGGTCCTGAGAACAACCACTGTTATAAAAATTGTGACTCTAACCCATATTATTGCCTATGTAGCTTTAGCCTGCACAAATTGTAACAGAGAAATATGAACTTTAAGCTAACCTACACAAATTATTCCTGTAAGCACTTACTAACGAGGTAAACATATCTAAAGGTATTTTAAGTAAAACAGCTTTTTAGAGGTCAAAGCAGAACTAGACACACATTGCAGGGGCCAGCCGGCCTCAAGGACTAACCAGCCCTCTTATCTTCAGGACACCTGGCAGAGCCCAAGTGATTAAAAAAAAAAAATTAAACAGTCCCTTATCGGCGGGGGCTAGCCTGTTAAGCCTGACCATGAAAAAAAGTCTTTGTCCAAAGAAAGTGTATAAAAACTCTCATGTCAAAGAGCTCGGGGCCGCTTACGAAAAAGGCGACCCAGCATATGCTGAATAAACACCTCTTGCTTAAATTGCAGCGATCTCTTGTCTTGTGGTCTCTGTGAGGCGAGTCACTTCGGCGTGTAGGATTTGTGCCCAGGGCACGGATCTTACACCACCAGGACAAGTGGCAGGAGAATAAGAGTAGCAGAGGAAAGGGTCATACTCGGGGAATGTCTCTATCAGCATCCTTGCCTCCTGGAAACCACAGAGTGGAGTAAGAAAGGGGCCTCTAGGGGAATCAGAAACCTGGTAATTTTGCACAATGGCTTAGGATAATAAGCGATTGTTTGGTGATGGAGCATGGATGTCTCCTCCAGATCAGCCAACCATCCAATAACTCCAAGAAGATCATTTGGATAGACTGTGGAATCCATGCCAGGGAATGGATTGCCCCAGCTTTTTGCCAGTGGTTTGTGAAAGAAGTAAGTGCCTTTAGTTTCCTCATAATGGTAAACCACCCCATAAAATACCTGTTATTCTTGGCTTTTTAGAAACCATGCTTATTTCACAAGCTAGCAATGCAATTCTTTACTGAGCTGATCCTTCAAGTGAAATAGAATTAGTGAGTAGCTTCACTGAAAACTAAGTATTCTGATCTCTTTCTAGTACATCCAAAATCATTTTTATTGGAGGTAAATATATCAAAATGTAGACGACATCTTTGGAGTCAAAAATGAATTTGAATCCTGGCTCTGCCTCTTTCTAATAGTATTGGGCAAATTTTCTCATACTGGGACCTCTAGTTTTTCACCTGTAAAAAGAGTATGAAATGACTACTTCATGTGTGTGGATTAAGAGATTTAGCAAATGGAAAATACCTAGCCTAGTGAATTTTTGTGGACTACTTATACCCCTCCTTTGAGAGACTCAGAAACCTTTAAAAGTAATACGATACTTTTTTGGTCAGTATTTGTAGAAACCTAAACATAAAAAGCCCACAGTTCTCAGGCATCAACAACATCACATCAACCGGGGACTTCATAGAAATACAAACAGTTGGATCCATCTCAAACCTGGTGAATTAGAAACTTGTGGGGGAGGAGGGGTTGGGGAGGGTAGAGCTGGGCAATCTGTATTAACAGGACCTCCAGGTGAATCTGATGCACAGTAAAGTCTGAGAACCACCGCATAAAGAATAAGAAAAGGAGGGGTTGGGGGCTGGAGGTTGGAGGTGGAACGTGCAGTCACCTCTTATAATCAAATTGAAACTGTTAAAAAATTAAGAGACAAAAGACCCCTTCCCAGAATCATTCAAAATATTTCTCTCTTAAAATTTCAGATTCTTCAAAACTATAAAATGAACTCACGTATAAGCCGGTTCCTTGGGAAGCTGGACTTCTGTGTGCTCCCAGTTCTTAACATAGATGGTTATGTCTACACTTGGACAACTGTGAGTACACTGAGTTTGGTCCCGGGGTCTGTTCGTGAACTAAAGAAATCACAACTCAGGTTCATTTTTTCGACCTCAACCTATAAAAATATTTTGTACCCATGTGAAGAAAGAAACCCCATTTGGTCTCAAATGAATTAAACATGTTTTAAGCAAACAAGGAGAGTCGAGTTCAGGACTGAGGAGGTTTTCGAAGTCCAACACAGGTTTTTTCTTTGTTTGTTTTTGACATATTTCCAGTTTTCCAGGCAGACTTACATTTTCTCCCCCATCTTCTTAATGTTTATGGATTGCTTACGTCTCATCAGGATCATACTGATATAAAATTCACATGCCAACCTGTATCCATCTCAGATCGGTTCTCAAAGCATGAGGGGTAACGAACGATGTATGAACACTCAACCAGACTACGTTTCAATGTGATCATTCACACGTCTCAGAAAGCAGACAACTTTCTCTTTACAATGTTTCTAAAGCATATTACTGCACAGATAAGAGTCCCTGTTTCTAGAAAGTATTCCTTCCTCCNGTCTCTGTGAGGCGAGTCACTTCGGCGTGTAGGATTTGTGCCCAGGGCACGGATCTTACACCACCAGGACAAGTGGCAGGAGAATAAGAGTAGCAGAGGAAAGGGTCATACTCGGGGAATGTCTCTATCAGCATCCTTGCCTCCTGGAAACCACAGAGTGGAGTAAGAAAGGGGCCTCTAGGGGAATCAGAAACCTGGTAATTTTGCACAATGGCTTAGGATAATAAGCGATTGTTTGGTGATGGAGCATGGATGTCTCCTCCAGATCAGCCAACCATCCAATAACTCCAAGAAGATCATTTGGATAGACTGTGGAATCCATGCCAGGGAATGGATTGCCCCAGCTTTTTGCCAGTGGTTTGTGAAAGAAGTAAGTGCCTTTAGTTTCCTCATAATGGTAAACCACCCCATAAAATACCTGTTATTCTTGGCTTTTTAGAAACCATGCTTATTTCACAAGCTAGCAATGCAATTCTTTACTGAGCTGATCCTTCAAGTGAAATAGAATTAGTGAGTAGCTTCACTGAAAACTAAGTATTCTGATCTCTTTCTAGTACATCCAAAATCATTTTTATTGGAGGTAAATATATCAAAATGTAGACGACATCTTTGGAGTCAAAAATGAATTTGAATCCTGGCTCTGCCTCTTTCTAATAGTATTGGGCAAATTTTCTCATACTGGGACCTCTAGTTTTTCACCTGTAAAAAGAGTATGAAATGACTACTTCATGTGTGTGGATTAAGAGATTTAGCAAATGGAAAATACCTAGCCTAGTGAATTTTTGTGGACTACTTATACCCCTCCTTTGAGAGACTCAGAAACCTTTAAAAGTAATACGATACTTTTTTGGTCAGTATTTGTAGAAACCTAAACATAAAAAGCCCACAGTTCTCAGGCATCAACAACATCACATCAACCGGGGACTTCATAGAAATACAAACAGTTGGATCCATCTCAAACCTGGTGAATTAGAAACTTGTGGGGGAGGAGGGGTTGGGGAGGGTAGAGCTGGGCAATCTGTATTAACAGGACCTCCAGGTGAATCTGATGCACAGTAAAGTCTGAGAACCACCGCATAAAGAATAAGAAAAGGAGGGGTTGGGGGCTGGAGGTTGGAGGTGGAACGTGCAGTCACCTCTTATAATCAAATTGAAACTGTTAAAAAATTAAGAGACAAAAGACCCCTTCCCAGAATCATTCAAAATATTTCTCTCTTAAAATTTCAGATTCTTCAAAACTATAAAATGAACTCACGTATAAGCCGGTTCCTTGGGAAGCTGGACTTCTGTGTGCTCCCAGTTCTTAACATAGATGGTTATGTCTACACTTGGACAACTGTGAGTACACTGAGTTTGGTCCCGGGGTCTGTTCGTGAACTAAAGAAATCACAACTCAGGTTCATTTTTTCGACCTCAACCTATAAAAATATTTTGTACCCATGTGAAGAAAGAAACCCCATTTGGTCTCAAATGAATTAAACATGTTTTAAGCAAACAAGGAGAGTCGAGTTCAGGACTGAGGAGGTTTTCGAAGTCCAACACAGGTTTTTTCTTTGTTTGTTTTTGACATATTTCCAGTTTTCCAGGCAGACTTACATTTTCTCCCCCATCTTCTTAATGTTTATGGATTGCTTACGTCTCATCAGGATCATACTGATATAAAATTCACATGCCAACCTGTATCCATCTCAGATCGGTTCTCAAAGCATGAGGGGTAACGAACGATGTATGAACACTCAACCAGACTACGTTTCAATGTGATCATTCACACGTCTCAGAAAGTTTTTTTAGGTAGCAGACAACTTTCTCTTTACAATGTTTCTAAAGCATATTACTGCACAGATAAGAGTCCCTGTTTCTAGAAAGTATTCCTTCCTCACCCTCCCCTATTGCTCCCCCAGAGGCCCTTCCTGGAGCCCTTTCTCTGGAACAGCCTTTCTTTCTGGTGTATAACGATGTATGAACACTCAACCAGACTACGTTTCAATGTGATCATTCACACGTCTCAGAAAGCAGACAACTTTCTCTTTACAATGTTTCTAAAGCATATTACTGCACAGATAAGAGTCCCTGTTTCTAGAAAGTATTCCTTCCTCCCCCTCCCCTATTGCTCCCCCAGAGGCCCTTCCTGGAGCCCTTTCTCTGGAACAGCCTTTCTTTCTGGTGTATGAATCAAGCCTCTCCCTCTGAGCTTGTCTGGTGAAGCCTGTCTTTATCTGCATCTCTACTCATCAGTCTTCTGCTTCCAGAAATGTGCAGAGACAATCTCTGATACACCTGGAACAGTCTGTTTCCATCTGTCAAGCTATTTCTCTTTCATCCTGTATTACTTGGACCTAAAAAATGACTCTGAAGCTTTCCCTTGAGTAAGCAGATCACGTCCGCAGGCACTGCTAATCTGCTCACGAGGAAAAAGGCCAAACTACTTCCTCCAATTTAATTGTGTACACGTATGCACACTTTGGGTTGCACAGATGTTCCTGTTATTTGGGGTTGCTAGCCCATCTGTAAGATTAAAAATTGCATGCACAAGCTTTATAATGTTAAAGGCAAGTTCTTCCAGATAATCCTAGGAAACATTTTTCATGTTTGAGGACCACCTATCGTCACTAACCCTGTGATTTATGAAACCTTGGAATGACAACATCCTATGTTCCTCTGTTTCAGGATCGTTTTTGGAGGAAATCCCGTTCATCGCATAATAATGGCACATGTTTTGGGACGGATCTCAATAGAAATTTCAATGCATCCTGGTGTAGTAAGTACATGTTTAGTAGATGGATTGATAAACAGCAACAACAACAAAATGAGCCAAAAATCAAGAAAAAAGTTGAACTACTGAAGATATAATTTTAAAAAATAAACATCTAATTTCGTACAGCTTTCTGAGATCCCTGGCTAGTTTCATTCCCTCTAAAGGGATGATACTGTCTATGTCATAAGAGCCATCAACACTCAAATGCAGGACTCTCTTCAAGTGAGGTTGACTAAACAAGGACAAAGTAGACCTGGACCAGTGTGAATATATTTGAAATCCATCACTTGTTTTTAAATATGTGGATTATCACAGATAGAAAAGAAAAATCAGAGAATTATCCTTGCAGATTATTTTATAGCAGGGGGTGGGCAGTACACAAAGCAAATATTTTCTTCTCCTTACAGCATTTTCATGTTTGCAAATCTCCACATACCCAGTCAATTGGAAGCAAATAAAGAGGCAGAAATGGTTAAGAGCATTGCCATTAACCAGATGGCAAGGGTTAAAATTCAGACTTGGCAGCTGTGTGGTCCTGGAAAGATTGCTTTATCTCTCTGTTTAGTTTTCTCTTATGTAAAATGTGGGTCATGGTAATACCACCTTATTGTAAATTGTTATGAGGATTGCATTTGATGCTACATGGGAGAGGCTGAGCACAGTCCCTAGCATATTTAAGAGGTGCTCAACTGATGATCCTTATTATTGTTAAAAAGGAGGACAGACTACTATGCCCTTGCAAAATAGCTCTCATGAGACTCAAACCAGTAAGACACTGAAAGAGAGACAATCCAATAAAGCTATGTCAGAGCCTGACCTAGGAACCTGACAACTGGTTCCCAACCATTTGTTGAATCACAGGTTTAAGTAAAAGATTACTGACATGCCATTTCATTTTGCATCTTCCTTCCTGGGCTATGCCAGCATGGAGTTTGCTTCTAAATCCTAATGTCAGCCCTCCCACCTTTCTGAGTTCCTCCTTGAATGATCATCCAAGTTGGCTAATTTAGCCAACACTAACTTAGACAACCCGGGGCAAATCCTTATCCACCCACAGATGCCCCGAGCAAGGCTGACTCCTTGCCCTTAGTCATTTTTAAACTGAGATCATAGAGACTTCTTTGTGGTTTTCTGTATGTTCTAGCTGTTGGCGCATCTAAAAACTGCCAAGATATAACATTCTGTGGGACAGGACCAGTGTCTGAACCAGAGACTAAAGCTGTCACTAGCTTTGTAGAGAGCCGGAAGGAGGACATTCTGTGCTACCTGACCATACACTCTTATGGGCAGTTTATTCTCACACCGTATGGCTACACCAAAAATAAAACAAGTAACCATGAAGAACTGGTAAGTCCACAGTGCCATCCATGGCTTCTAGAAAAACCCCAATAGGACCTCTGCCTTCCTTTTCCTCATTTCCATTTCCAAGATTTTGGCTCCAGCTTCCTTTTGTTCTCTCTGCGCATCATTTTTTTTCTCCTGATTTTTGCACCTTGCCAGACGCCTGCTGAGAAGGCTTCAGGTTAAATGCTGCTTTACCTACATTAATTAACTACCTGTTTCATAAAGTGTCAAGTTGGGAGATATCTTAGGTACTCGTCTATAATATAAATGAGATGATTATGTTAATAATCTGCAGGAATGTGCTTTCATTTCTGTAAATTCTCTTGAAGCTCCATTCAGCAATTACAGCTTTTGAACCGTGCTTTAAAGAACTTGCCAGCTGTTAGCGGAATATGGCGTATCTAAAATAACACGGCTAAATAATATCTGCTCTCTTCTCTGCTAAAGACAATGCTCTATTTTCTTCTAAACTCTTACTCCAGTATTTGCCTAGGAAGGTTTGTAAGAGGAAGTGCCAGTGAAATGCAAGCTGGGGCAGGGAAACTGTGTTTTGTATTATCTGAGTCTTTCTCTGATGCTATGTTTACCCAATCACTGGTGGGCAGAATTGCTGAAAAAGACTGAGCTCCTTGCCCTTTTGTGAACCTGAGGACAACAGAGTGAAATGCAAGCTGGGGCAGGGAAACTGTGTTTTGTATTATCTGAGTCTTTCTCTGATGCTGTGTTTACCCAATCACTGGTGGGCAGAATTGCTGAAAAAGACTGAGCTCCTTGCCCTTTTGTGAACCTGAGGACAACAGGCAGAAAACAAAGAAAGGGTAAATTTAGAATTGCAAATTGTAATATTTGTTTTCTTTTTATTTTTAACTTATGTTTTCAATTTTTTATTTTATTTTATTTTATCAATATATGATGTAGTTGATTTTCACGTCCCTTTACCAATTCCTCCTTTTCCTTCCTCCCTTACCCCTGCCCCCATCAACATCATATCTGTTCACTTGTCTTAACAAATTCAAGGAATTGTGATTGTTGTATCTTCTTCCCCCCTCCATTTGTTTGTTTATTTAATTTATTTATTTTTATTAGTGCCCACAAATAAGTGAGAACATGCAGTATTTCTTTTTCTGTGCCTGGCTTATTTCACTTAATATAATTGTCTCTAAGTCCATCCATGTTGCTGCAAATGGTAGTATTTCATTTTTTTTTTTTATATGTATCAGCATAGGATTCCATTGTGTAGGTACACCACATTTTCCTTATCCACTCATGTGATGATGAGCATTTAGGCTGGTTCCAACTCTTGGCTATTGTAAATAGTGCTGCAATAAACATGTGAGTACAGGTATCGCTTCGACATGATGATTTCCATTCCTCTGGGTATATTCCCAGCAGTGGGATTGCTGGGTCATATGGTAGATCTATCTGTAATTGTTTGAGGAAACTTCATACCATTTTCCCTAAAGGCTGCATCATTTTGCAGTTCCATCAACAGTGTAGGAGGGTTCCTTTTTCTCTGCATCCTTGCCAGCATTTGTCATTTTCAGTCTTTTGCATATTAGCCATCCTAACTGGGGTGAGATGGTATCTCAAAGTGGTTTTGATTTGCATTTCCCAGATGCTGAGTAATGTTGAGTATTTTTTCATTTGTCTGTGGCCATTCATATATCTTCCTTTGAGAAATGCCTATTCAGCTCCTTTGCCCATTTTTTAATTGGGTTACTTGTTTTTTTGTTTTTTTTTTTTGCTCTTAAGTTTTTTGAGTTCCCTGTATATTTTAAATATTAATCCTTTGTCAGATGGATATTTTGCAATATTTTCTCCCACTCTGTTGGTTGTCTTTTTGCTCTGTTGTTTCTTTTGCTGTACAGAAGCTTTTTAGTTTTATATAATCCCATTTGTTTATTTTTCCTTTGGTTGCCTGTGCTTTTGGGGTCGTATTCATAAAGTCTGTACCCAGTCCTACTTCCTGGAGTGTTTCCCCTATGTTTTCTTTAAAGAGTTTTATTGTTTGGGGATGTATATTTAATTCTTTAATCCATTTTGAGTTGGTTTTGGTATATGGTGAGTGGTACAGGTCTAGTTTCATTCTCCTGCATATGAATGTCCAATTTTCCCAGCACCATTTGCTGAAGAGGCAGTCTCTTCCCCAATATGTAGTCTTGGTGTCTTCATCAAAGATTAAATGTCTGTAGGTGCATGGATTGATTTCTGGATTCTCTATTCTGTTCCGTTGTTCTGTGTGTCTGTTTTTATGCCAGTTCCATGCTGTTTTGGTTACTATAGCTTTGTAGTATAATTTAAAGTCAGGTAGTGTTTTGCCTCTGGCTTTATATTTTTGCTCAGGATTGCTTTGGCTATACATGGTCTTTTGTTCTTCCATATGAATGGGAGTATTATTTTTTTCTAATTCTGAGAAAAATGTCATTGGAATTTTGATGGAGATTGTGTTGAATCTGTGGATCACTTTGGGCTGTATGGACATTTTCATAACGTTAATTCTTCCAATCCAAGAATATGGGATACCTTTCCATCTTCTTATGTTCTCTTTAATTTCTCTCAACAGGGGTTTGTAGTTCTGGTCGTAGAGATTTTTCACATCCTTGGTTAAATTTATTCATAGGTATTTTATTTTTTTGGTGACTATTGTAAGTGGACTACAATTTTTAATTGTAGGAAAATACATACAACATAAAATTTACCATCTTAACCATTTTTTTAAGTGTGAAGTTAAGTAGTAGTGTTATTTACATTGTATATTCACATTGATGTGCAACCAATTGCCAGAAGTTTTTACCTTGCATAATTGGAATTCTGTATCTGTTAAACAACAACTGTCTCCCACTGCCCCCAGTCCCTGGCAACCACCATTCCACTTTCTGTTCCTATGAGTCTGACTATTCTAGATACCACACATAAGTGGAATCATGCAGTATTTGTCTTTCTCTGATTGGTTTATTTTACTTAACATAATGTCCTCAAGGTTCACTCATGCTACAGTATGTGTCAGGATTTCCTTCCTTTTTAAGGCCAAATAATATTCCATTGCATGTATATACCACATTTTGTTTATCCATTCATCCATCGATGGACAATTGGGTTGCTTTCACCTCTTGGCCATTATAAGAAATACTGCCATGAATATGGGTGTACAAATATTTCTTCAAGACTATGCTTTTAATTCTTTTGTATAGCTACCCAGAAGTGTAATTGCTGGATCACATGATAATTCTATTTTTAATTTTTTGAGGAACCACCATATTATTTTCCATAGTGGCTGCACCATTTTATATTTTGCCAACAGGGTGCAAGGGTTTCAATTTCTCTAATTTTTGCTAACACTTGTTATTTTTTATCTTTTTATTTTTTTAAACAAGTTCCTCATTATATGCAAATGCTGGGATAGATGGGAGCTAAGCTCTCTATTCCCAATATCACAGAGGCCTGGTTGGAGTGTGACCCATAAAACTCAAGGCCTAGATGCTAAAAACCACTATAAATCTTTGCTGAAGAAAGCCCTTCCCCCAGCAGTCAAAAAATATCCAGCCATACCCAAGTATCTTTCTAGAAATTATCTTTTCATTTCTTGGTCCAGGAACACTTGTACTATGTGGTCATTTTACAACACATGGAAACAACTAACATTTGCCTAGTCTTTACAATTTACAAAGGAATTTTACATCCATTATCTCATTTGACCCTTGTGACAATATAATCAGCTCACTTTGGAGATGCAGAAATTGAGATCTCGAGTTAACTTTATTTCCACATCCTCTGTAGACAGGAAATGGTGGAGCCTGGGCTGGAACTCACGTCTCTGGACTCCGGAGTCCTCATTCACTATCTCACTACCTCACACAGCCTCTGTTCTCTCAGACAGGGTCTGAAACTTCTAGGAGCCATTATCAGTTTAGATTCCCAGTGAACTATGTGCTATTTTTCCTCATTTGTAAGCCCTAGAAGTTCTATTTCTTCATTAAAGAAATCTGCAGAAACAGAGATTTCAGTCAAAAAGCCCAGATCCGTATTTATCCCCAGTTTCTGGGATATTTGTTGTAGATTTCTACTTTCTGCCTTAAGGGTTCTGTGACAAACACAAATGAATTTCCAAAGACAGGCCATTACAGGTCTTTGATGGAAAGGGGTCTTCTGCCAGCAGACCAAAGAGGCTTGTGTGCTCTGGTATTTTTCTTGGGAACTTCATTCTCTTACTGGCTCAGGAAAACAGATACTACATGACCATTGTGCAAGGCTTGTGTTCAAACGTTAGACGGTCTTGTGCTGTTGAGTGGCTGTCTGATTAGAGCTCTGTGGCCACAGGGTAGAGGGAGCAAGAAGGCAGGAGGGACCTGGGTCTATGGCATCACCACTGCTGGAAGGCGACTCTGAGAAGGGGATTACTGGCCACTCCTTCGTATTAGATGCAGAAATTGGTAAATCAAATTGAGAAAGACTGCTTTAATTCTATATCTCAGGTGCTGAAGGGTTAGATAAACAGTCATCTCCAGGCCTTTTCAATAAAAAGACAGCATGAAAATTTTGCCACCATGTGTCAACATTATTGAAGCTATTTAGCAGTGTTTTTAGATTCTTGGGGATAAGCTATGATAGAGTTCATGAAGACACAGAATCAAGCCAACTGCTCCAAGGAGATTTCCATTTCTAGTACTATTTACAACCAGCAGAGGCTAGTAATTAATCTCTCTGTATTTATAGAACCAAAAATCTGTAGCAATCATGGTAAATATTGTACTATATGATAGACAACTTGGCAGTCACTCTGTAGGAGAAACATAATGATATATATCCCCTTTCTAAACTGCTGTGGAAATTAGAATAGCTATAAGAATTCTAATGTTTCCCATGTTTACATTCTTTCCATATCAACCTCTGTACTGCATCTCAGGCTCGGCCCCTCCCCCTCAACACACATTCATGCCAAGGTCTTAACCAACCTTTTTGCATGTCTGCCTGTGAGTATTCACCTATAGGAAATTCTCTGGGCTCAGAAGGAATTGTCAAGTAGGCTAGAGGTGCTCAGAATTGTATTTTATGTACTAGTGGCAAAGGAGTTTATTATTTTTACTGGGAAGTACCCTTAAGCTGAGAAGGGCAGCAGAGAAGTTGGCTGTCCATGGCCTTGAGTACATCGTGAGAAGGAGAGAGAAGTACAGTCAGCAGTTCCATCCCGCAGATAGAAGGTGAAGTCAGAAGTCTGAGGGGATTTCCATTTCATCTTCTCAGAAAGGACCAAGTCTGTAAGCTAAGATCACAACTGTACACTTCTCACATATCTTTATTTCTACCTACTTCCCCATAGTAATTGCTAGTGGAATCCTTAGAAGAATAAAATTCAAAAGTTCTTCAATCAACAAAGAGGGAACTGAGAAGACCCTTTCCCACCCCAGAGCCAGGATTTGAGGGAAGGGAACAGTAAAGGATAGAACAAGCACAGGCTGTGATGGGAAGAAATAGTTGTTGGGGTGAGCTCTGCAGGAAAGAAAAAAGTTGCAAGGAGTGACTTGAATGGAAAATGTAGCCTGGGCTGATCCATATATCCCACATAAAAGTTGAGGCCCCACGTGGACCAGTTAAAATGGAACTTCACTGAAGGAAACACAGAAACACGTGGGATTAAAAGTAATTAAAAGCAATTCGTGTCTCTACTATAGACTCTCGAACTTCAAAAGGGAGCGTAGTTGGTAAATCACAGCAACATTACGCAGGCCTCTTGCTCTTAATTTCAGCACACATAGCAGCTACCTGAGTCCTTTCCACCTCTCTCTTATTTTCTTACCAGAATTTCTCTCTCTAGAAATCCCCTTTCTGACTCTCCCCTACCTCTTATAATTTCCTCTTCTTTCTACAAACAGCTCTTCTATCTCTTTCCAGTGTAAATGACTAAATTAGCTTTATACCTTATACTTCTTTATCCTTTCCTACCCATTGTCTCAATTCTGGACAATGCAAACCCAGGATCTGAGGCAGACTCAGAATCTCTTTTCAGGAAGAGGGAGCGATGAATGGACAAAGATGGACTTCTCAGTAGTGAGTGAAGATAAGGCAAAAAGCTTGCAAATATGTTCAATTTAATGTACCAAGTGCCTTTGGGATGCTACCCACACCTGCTGAGTAGGACCCCACCTCCACTTATCATCTTTTCTATTCTTCCTTTAGAATTTCACTGGGACTGTCCCCACTCTCCCCAAGTACTTTTTGTTCACATACTAAGATTCAGCTAGATGGTACAGAGCCAGGAAGGGAGAGACACAATCTAAAACTAGATCCATCACTAGCCAAGAGCCAGGAGGGCTGCTGCACCTGCCAGTGCTGTCTGGCTGCCCTAAAGAGTTGAGCAATGTTGGATCACAGTCCAGGCAGGAAGTGGCAAGGGAGTTTGGGTGGTGTTTGTGTAGAATCTATGGGGGGTTACTGCAATAGACTATCTGGTAGGTAGAACATAGCATTGGAAAGTCTGGGGTGGAGAATACCTAGAGGGTGGTCTGTTGACAGACCTGTGCAAGAAGATTTTTCAGAAGATCAATAAGCACAGCCAATAGACTTGGACCTCAGTGACTTTGATCTCTGGAAAGGGTCTGCAGATTGCAAGGCTGTGAGACCTTAGAAATCATCTAGTTCTGAGGATTTCCAAGATGATGTGGTGGTAGCTGTGGGGATGTGTGTGATTTTCAGCCCTGAAATTCTATGAGCATATGAGAGATGTGTCAAATATGTATCAAGTATCTACGAGGAAAGATAAAAAGAGACTCGTTAGAGAGAGGTATGAACAAAGGGCTATGGGAGATTCAAAGTGGGGACAGAATCCAGTTGGGGTGATCAGATGAGGCCTCATGGAGAAGTGGCATTTGAGAAAAGCCTTTGAGGTTGTGTAGAATCTCAAGAGGCAGAAGTAAGAGGTATCCCAGGTACAGGGAGCATACTGAGAAAATGGAGAGAGGCTGAGGAATAGGGGTCATGTAGGAGGAACAGTGGGAAAATGAGTTTGACTGTAATCTAGGATGGATGTATACAATATGGTGTTGGAAAGGTGAGTTAGATCAGGTTGTATAAGATCTCAAAAACTAGCCTGAGAAGATTGTACTTAATTCGGTGAGCACCCGGGAGTTATTGAGAGCTTTTAAGCACGATTATGATCATAGCTCTACTTTACAAAAGTTCATCTGGAAACCAGGTAGAATCGACTGGGATAAGGATTGATGAGAGGAAGGGAAACTTATTAGAAGATGCAAGAGACCAGCTCAGAGGCAATGAGTCAAACAGGACAATGAGAGAAGGAAAGTCAAAGATGCCTGCAGGGTTTTTACATGTGTGTTTGAGGGAGCATGCGAGGCCAGAAATGTGAAAGTCAGAACAGCCTTATTAATGGGAAAGATGATGAAATTGGATTTAAATGTGTCGAATCTGAGGTTTTAGCAGGCTACCTAGGTGTAGTTTTCCAATGGGAAGTTGGAAAGATGGTCTAAAACTCTGAAAGTGGATCTGGATTTATTTTTAACTCCAGATATCTGTCTGCATTTCCCACCTACAGATTCGAGTTGGACAGAAGGCAGCAAATGCATTGAAAGCAAAGCACGGAACCAATTATACAGTTGGAGCAACTTCACATGTTTTATGTAAGTATCTTTATTTTGTCTTCAATAGTATCTAAGGCACAAAAGAAGTCTGTGGGCTTAGGTGGGCAGGAGAGGAATAGAGTTCCTGTGATCAACAGGGAGTTGTATAAATCAAAATGACTAAAGATGAAAGGAAGTCTTTACAAATCCAGAATTATACTCTCTAGGGATAAGGTATGAGCTAAAAGGAAAAAAAAAAAAAAAATTAACACACTGATTTAGACCAGAACTTCCTCTGGCTTCCTTTAAAAAGAGCTGGCAGGTTAGAAGGCATGGGAGTTAACAGGAAGGACATTGTCCAGTGACTGCTGGTCAGGTGATTCAGTTCCCAGAGGACCCATCAGGTTAACAAAGCAGAGCAGGGTGGGTCCTGAAGAAGGAACCTACAGGAAAATAATTTAGTTGAAAGGAGAGTGTTGTGCTTCACCCAGCTCCAACCAGCACCTCTTCCACCCTCTGGAGACCCACCTGGATAATATTTGCATAATATTTTTCCTGTGGGATGCTTTGTTTCTGTTCCTTTATATGAGTCATTTCACTTTTGCTTTGGGATATTAGGTTGCCTAGGCTTTGATTCAGCTGAGAAACTTCAACCAAACCTCTGCTATGTGCCAGGCACAGTGCTAGGTCCCATAGGGGACAGAGAGGTTAAATAAGATGTAGTCCCTGCCCTGCAGGGACTTACCTATAAAGGAGAAGACAGCTATCCATGAGACCCTGAAAAAGTTTTTTTTTTAACTTTTATTCCCTGAAATAGCTGTAGAAATCTATCCTTTCTAAGTATGATGTCTACCTCTGCCTTCATGTTTTCATTTACAGATGATGTATCAGGGTCTTCAAAAGACTGGGCCCAAGGCATTGGGATCCCCTTCTCATTCACGTTTGAGCTGAGGGACCGTGGTTTATATAGGTTTCTTATGCCAGAAGCCCAAATCCAGCCTGTCTGTGAGGAGACCATGGAGGCTGTGCTCTCGATCCTGGATGATGTGTATGAGAAATACTGGCCCTCCAACAGTACTGGAAAGGTGACAGCTGAGCTTGCTGGTGTCCTTCACTTTCTAAGTGAATCCTACTTAGGACGCTGAACCCCAGTGATGTGGATATAGTTGGAAGGAAGGTTTGTCTGAGGTTGTAGAGAAACCAAATAATTTAACTAAATTCTATTTCAATAAAGAAAAATCAGATTTGCATTTTAATGTTTTGCTGATAATTATTTTTTAATACTTTATAAGAGTATAGTGTTAGGTATTGCTACCATAATGCTACAAACTAAAGTCCTCTAAAACTCAGCGATACATGAGTCTATATAGGTCAGTGAGGAAGTTCAGCTGCTCTGGGCTGTGTCCACTTAGGCGTCTGTGGTCAGTTTCAGGGCGGCTGGTTGATCACTCTGGGGGTTGGCTGGCTGCCAGCTAGTTTAGGACAGCTTCAGCTGGGATGAGGACCCGTGGCTGTGCTCCGTGTATCTTTTCCTCCAGGAGGTTAGGCCAGGCATGTCCTCATGGCTATGGTACAGGAATATGAGCAACAAGAGAGCAATCCCAATGTGCAGGCGTTTTTCAAACCTCTGCTTGCCTGGTATTTGCTAACATCCCATTGGCCAAAGGAAGCCATATGGCTGAGCTCAGAGTTCAGGGCTGGGATAGAGCACATGTGAGGAATGAAGAACTGGGGCTATCAATGAAATTACTCTACCTGGTGTTTAATGTCACACTCTTGAGCATCACTGATTTAGCTTTATTGCTAGGAGAGCTCAGCTATAATATGAGGTGATTCACCTAGATTGTTATTATTCTATCCAGCTTTAAACCTTGAGAAATCTGTGGGTACCAGCGGAACCCCACTGCTCTTGAAATCTAATTAAAGGTCACATGAGATTCTGATAGGGCTTTTTGTGTTCTACTAATATTTCATGATTTATGTTCTCAATACTCACTAAGGAAAATGAGATAGGACTAGGTTTCCTGCCCTGGGGGCTAGGGATTTTTTTCTCATCTAAATTCTTTGGAAATTTTGCTTGCAAGTTTGAACCAGGTTCTCCCTTAATTTTGGGTTAATAACTTAGTAGCAGCATTTAGAAGACAAGTTCTGTAATCTTTCTACACAGCAGTGCTGGTTTTATTTTATTTATTCAAAAAAATTTTTTGAGACTCTACTAGGTGCATTTTGCTAGGCTCTGAGGTTACAATGGTGAATAAGATAGACACGGTCCCTGTCTATTTGAAATTTATATTCCTGTGGGTGAGATTGGGAGTAGCAGTCATAAATAATTGGAATGGACACACTATTTCATACCAGGTAAATCCCAGCTCTGTGGGAGCTATAATAAGTAAGAATACAAATAAATAAATTAAATATTGCAGCATGTGACTCATTCTAGGAAAGAAATAAAGAATAAGTAGAAAGGAAAGCAATGGCCAGATTTGTTTTCAGATATATAGGCATTTAATTGTGCTATCTCATCTATTAAATTTTAAGTTCTCTTGAAGTAGTTTCCATGACTGTCATTTCCAATGTATCTCTATGTGACACCTTGAAATGGTGCTAAACACTTGTCAGGCTTTGAACAAATGTAGCTGTGACCAGCTGACAGGGCATCCTTGGGTGTTCAGTCACCCATTTCCAAATTTCCTTGTTGGTCATGGTCACAATACACTCTTCAGTTGTAACCTTTTTACTGCCTTTCTTTGTCCTCTTTATTTCTTCATGTCTTGCTAGTGTGTGGCTGATAAGGGTCAGAAAGGAAAATGTCAGGGGCAGTTGGGTTTAATGAATCAGAGAACAGCTATTTACATAAAAATGCCAACTCCACAACTGTGGCATTGTCAGGAGAAAATGGTTGGGTTTCATCAATGACCAGCCTAGAAGGGAAGGACACTAATGTGGCCACCCAATGCCAAGTTCAAGAAAAATGCAGAGGAGCTGTGCTTACAGATGCAGGTTTTCAGTTTTAATCTAGCCTGTGTTTTAGTTTCCATGGCTATTTAAAAAAAAATTTTGGACCTCCATGAACTTCAGGAGCTCTAATATACAAAGTTTAATTCATGTCTAAAGACTGAACCCTTGGGCAAATAAAGTTGGAAGGGAACAGATAGAAACTCAATCTGTCAGCTTGCCTGAAATCTTCCATGTGGATATTTCTAGGCTCCAGGACACAATCGTAGCTTCCTTGAGGGGTTTCACACATCTCTGAGGATTTGGGGTACTGGAGGACAGGACATATTATTTACTTCTTCTGGAATTTTTTTACTCCCTGGGAAAAGATCCTAAAAACAAGAATAGAAGGATGATGAATTACCACCCTGATCTTTCTTAAAGATGTTTTCAACTTCCTGGTCTAAAATGGTAATCATTTGGGAAAACTTCATAACTGATGTAACTAATGCATTCTTAAGAGTTTCCTGTATTGTGGCTTTGTTGGGTTTGGGATTTGATTTTATCCGACTTTAAAGCTAAGATGTTAGCCTGTTACAGTTTTGTGAATGTTAATAGAGGACATGAAACTCCTGGGTCAGAGTCAATGGACATTATTCTCACAATACATGAAGGGGCAGAAGCGTCAGCATATTTACATTCATTTCCTTTGCTCTCAGGTTCCAAGCAGATGATGAAACAAGCCCAGCTGCCACATACCCATGCAGCATGTGTGTTACAGGAGACAGACACTGAGCTTGGGAATCCACTGCTCCTACAGCAAGCAGTAAGCAAGCCTGATCTCTAGCTCAGAGGAGACATTACCTCATCACTCAAGGTCGCTTACTTGCTGCAAATAAACTCTAAGAAATGGCTCAGGTAAAGAGTGGTCAGAGCCTTGCATCCTCGGCACAACCAGCAAGAAAAGAGCCCAACAAAGACTGTCTCCCAGCAGGCTTTGAGTCATATGAAATTGCTGTTTTCATAGGTCAAAAAAAAGTTCATGTAGTGGTGATTTTATATGGCTCACTTATTATCTCAGTGCTAATAAAAGTATTTCCATAATGCCTTTTCTTCCCCCCCCCCCTTTTTTTTAGGATGTTTGACTATAGTGCATTTTCTGTTACTATTCTTTCCTTCCACCTAACTCTTAGTGCTTTTTTTCATAACTATTCCTACAAAGGATCTAAATCTTGACTTATGGATAAATTTAAAGTTTAAAATGATGCAAAATGATAAATTCAGATAGTATCCAAGCTTCTAGCTCTGTTTTTTTTTTCCTACAGCAGTGTTAAAATGAGTTATATTTTTGTTTTCACCATGTATGTCCAAGCTACTATTTCCCTTCCTTTTCTTATGTAGTCTACCAATCTCCTGATATGTTACTAAAAATATATTTTCATATCACCCTAGTATTGTTCTTATGTATATAATTTGAATCTGACATAAATTTGTTATGGCACTAAGAAGCCCACTGCCCAAGAATATAAAATTGCAATGCTAAATACAAAGGAGTAAAAAGAAAAACCACTGAAATTAATAATGATTAATTTCTGTTATGATATGCAGTGATCAAAACACTTTGTGTGTTACCTTGTGTGATATTCATAAGAATCCCAAGTTAGATACTTTTATTTATTTAAATAACATGACCATGGTCACACTGTTTTTATTAATTGTTGACTAATCAGATAATTTATTGGGATAGGAATTATCCAGTTCCGGGATGTCAGAATTACTCTCCAGTGGACATGATCAGTGCTTTGCCAAGATCCCTTCAGGCCCCTTCTGCATTCCTCTTCATTGCTGTTGTATGTTTTGCCTCCAACAGCTCACACCTGCCTGACTCTTTCTTCTGATAGCTGCCCCTGAGCTGCTGCATGTGCTCTGCCTGCAGCCACAGAGAGCTAGAAGTGTGTGGCAGTTACACCCACCCCCAGAAATCCTTGGCCCCTGCCTGGATGGTAGCTGCTGGGTCCAGGAGGATAAAAGCCCAGTTCCCTTGCAGTGGGTGGTGTAACTTATATTCCAGAAATTATGTGGGGTGAGATTGAAGTTATCTTCCAAAGAACTTTCCCCGAGCTTGCACACTTGCTTGGCCACCTCCCTTTCCCGTCCTGTGTCTCCCTTTCCCGTCCTGTGTCCTTACTTGCTTACCAGTTTCTCTTGGGAGCACCTCCTTAATACATCACTTGTACATGAATCCTCACTTCTGGACTTGCCTCTGGGGAACTGAGTGTAAGACAACTCCCTGTGGAATTACAAGTATTCCTAAAACATCATAAATTTTTAATTTTCTAAAGTTGACCTTTAATACAAGAATTACTATTATTTAATATTCAGAATATGCCTGGGGATTACAAATGTTGTATGGACAGAAATACCCTATTTTAGAGATGTTAGCATTCTAGATCATGAATCATCTTGTTCCAGATAAATAAGACCTTTACCTTGGTAAATCATATGCATTTCCAGTTGGGTCTCTTATTAAAGGCACAGTAAAAAATGTGGATTTTTTACTTTATGTGGATTTTAGCCTTTATGGATTTGTAAATTTTGAAGTAGTTGGTCTTATGATAAGACTTTATGAGAAAATAATAGCCACTTATTACAGTTTTCCACTCTGCTGTAATCAAGACTTCCCAGTCTTTTCTTAGCTACTCTGAAAAAGGGATTTTATTTTTTCCTTAGGATTCATTCATTTAAGGTAATAAAAATAAATTAAAAAATAAAGCTCCAAGGAGCTTTAATAGTGGGTGTATTAACTCCTATCCCGCTAGTATGTTCCTTTCCCACAGAGCTGTTATCACATTTTTTATGAGAATTTTTTTGAAAAAAACACATTTGTGAAAGTCAGCTCCAAAGCTTCAGACCCAAGATGAAGTGTCCTTTCTCTTTACATAGATGGTGCAAATGCAACCACAGGAACACAGAGAAGGTAAAGAGTGATACATATTCAATGGTGTGAATCCACAGAAACCTAGTTGACTAGGTCGAAGTGGAAAATCAGATTGGGATCAGGTGGGTGAACGTCCCTAATACCAAGCAGGAGTCCAGACATGACTGCTCTAGGCTGTGGGGAATGCCAACACTTCTGCACAGGGCAAATAAATAAATGTGTTGTGTAAAAAATTAGTCTGGAAGGATGAACTAGAGTGAGATAACTGGAGGG